TCCTAACTAACTCACTAACAAATTTACGTATCAATTGGCACTCAAACGAAATTTGTACAAAGAGAAACTATCTAACAAATTTCCTTCTAGATTATTCTTATTGCTACTTTGTCATCAGTCCTTGTCATCAGTCCTCGTTGGCTCCTCTTCCTGCTGACTGTGCTCCAGCTGGTATTCATTCTGCTGATTTAATACCATTGGCACAGAAGGACTGGTGGCAGGGCAAGTTGTGGATTTAAGCTGTACTGGTAACAATGCAAATGTAGGATTACCTCAATTAGAATTCATTTACAATCACAAAACTGCTGCTTTAGTAGAGGCATCAGTTGTTTTGGGGGCAATTCTTGTGGGGAGGAACTGCTGAACAAGTTGAAACATTAAGAACATTTACAAGGAAGATTGGGTTGTTCCAAGTTGTCGATGATATATTGGACGTGACGAAATCCTCAGCAGAATTGGGAAAAACTGCAGGAAAAGATTTGGTGGCCGATGAGGCAACTTATCCCAAATTGTTGGGATTGGATCAGGCTAGGGAATTTGCTGAGACATTGAATGAGGAGGCTAAGGAACAATTGGCTGAATTTGATTTGGACTAGGCAGCTCCATCGATTGCTTTAGCTGGTTAAATTGCTCATAGGCAGAACTAGAATGATGCTGAGAATTCTTGAAATGGAGTTTTGCAATTTTCAACTTTCATGTTTGTTTGTTGTAACAATATCCTAAAGCCGAGTTTACTGAGAATACGTTAGTGTTTGGTAACATTTCTTGGATTTTAGATGATATGCTTTGTATAATGAGGTATAGCATTGCAATTTTTGGGGACAATGACCAACAACATTGTATTTTCTGTGTAGATTTTTTGTGGACCATATGTCCATAGCAGATGCACCTTTTAAGCTCATGGCCATGATTTTTTGTGGCTGTCTTGGTATTATTGAAGTTATTATAAATTTATAACTCCACACTGGGGTTCTTTGATCTGGAATTCAAGATGGCTCTGAATTTGGAGAATAGTCTATTGTATTTACATGGTCGCTGATTGTGCAGTACTTCTTTGTTAAACTCAATTTTGAATTCTATAATTTGTTAGACAGACAACAATATCATCACTGTTAGACAATAAAGTTTCAAATGACACACCCTGGTAGCATTTTGGCTTTTAATGACAACAAAGACAATATTACAAAATATATGATATTCTGGAATTCAAAACACATAGATCTCACACTTGCACTTCATTCCAATAATAAAAAAACTTCAAGTTTCGCATTTAATACCCAATAGTTTATAAATAAAATATTTTAAACTATTTTTCAGGAGTTACTCTTTGACCACAAATCATTAACTTCTAAATGCTTGTCCTGTCATTTGCAAAAATAAAAATGCATTAGTATAAATCGAGTGTAAAATGTTGAAGATTCATATAAGTGGTAATTTACCATTACCTGAATCAAAATTACGAATTAGTACTATCTTCATTTTGCATATATGGATTATAGTAATGCATGATAGGACATAGTATATACAAAAAGGACAAAAAATTATATTAACGTAGACATCAATTAATCAAATAATAGTACCAGGGGCTGGATATGGTTCCGTTCAATTCGATTCTAAAGAAAATCGAATAGAAGCAGAATGCTCAGATATTTAGTAATTGGAACCGTCGATTCTAAATTTAATTATGGAACCATTGGGTTCGGTTCCATTTGGTTTTGTATCAGAATTAAATTTTTTAACATTTACAACAATACTACTTTAATCCAATTAATGACATTTTCCATCTTACTTCTTACAACAACACTATATTAATACCTACAAAATAACGTAGATCAATTTAAAAATACACAAATAACAAGTTTTCTAATAAGATTTATTCACTAATGTATACAAATTACCTTGATCGAAGTAGATGAAATTCAATGAATAGGGCAAAAAAGGGTAAGATAAAGAGAGGTATAGCCGTTCAGCTTCAATTCAGTCAATTTTCTTTTTTCGAATTAAAAAGTTGGGTTTGGCTGAAAGTAGAAAAATAATATTTTGTGTTCAATTAATTAGTTGGCAAATGAAATAGGAAAAATTAAAATAATTTGGCTTGTTTAATATTAAAAAAAAAATTTAAAAATTAAGGGAGATTTAGTTCTTGATCTAGAACCGAGAATTGGACAAAACCCATCGGTTCTAGATTTTGATATCCTTTCAGGTATTTAACTTGAGAAGAACCGCTCGATTCGATTCGGTTTCGGATTAAAAGTTTTGTCCAACGCTAAATAGTACATAATGAACTTTTCTTACCTTGAGTATTGAGTACCGAATTTGGTAAAACTGGATGCTTTGAAGCATAAGATGGTAAATGATGAAAGTAAGGAATTTGTTGCTAGAACCTTGCCATTTCATTGACTTGAAAATTGTAAGGTGTATATACTTGTGTTCCCAGCTCCTAGAACCAATGAAGTGAAGTAAATTCTAAAAAATATCATCATAATAATATAAAAAATGAATAATATTAAGCTATTATCAAATTTTACATGTATACTTGTACCATCTTGTGTGTCAACTGCAATAGGCATGCAAACATCATGTTCAATTGTTTTAGACTGAAAGTAAATAAATTTAGCACGTTTAAATAAATTACAAATTTTTAACTAAAATTGAAGATGATATATAATTATGCACCTGAAGTTTTCTTTCTTTTTCTTGGATTTTTTTCTTCGCATTTTTTCTTCTTGGAAACAGCCCTTCTATTCTTGTGTGTTCGAACAACAAGGGGACTATGAAGTTAGCTTTCACCGAGAGCGTTACGAAAGTCACCAACATTATCCTATCAATCAATATTACTCATAGTGGCATTAGTACCTATCGAAGAACTCCTCAAAGCTGATTTAGTTCTTTTATTTTTGATTGAAACTCATCCATCAAGTTCAATAATACAGTATGATTCTCAGCAGAAGTGATAGCCAAGTCTGTAACAATTTGTTATAACGTTTAGCCTCCTCCTCGTCTTACCAATCATCACAAGTAACTTTCACCTTCGCGTGAGACTTTTTTAAGCCCTTCCTCCAACGTGCTAGGATATACATTTCAGGAAATTTTTGAATATTACGTTTCAAAAGAACTGGTAAAGCATGCTTGCATAAAATTCCTCTAAATATATCCTTTACCAATGTAGGAACCCAACAATGCCTCTCTTTATACAAATTATCCAACCACACATTTTCACAAGGTTGAACTTAGTAATGAATTGCTCCCACTTTTATTCAAAGCCTTCTTTCTCCAACAAGTCATAAACAATACTACGCAAGACACCTTTTATTTTTTCGTACAATTTGTAGCCTCTTAATTTCTCTAATATCTTTTTCATTATATGAAATAGACACCAACTATGTTGAGTGTTAGGAAACACAACCCCAATAGCTTTCTGCATTACTTTGTCTTGATCTGTTATGACACACTTTGAACGTCCGACATGCATCCCAGCAAAGTACGAAACAACCAAATAAAGGTATCAGACTCCTTGCTTGATAGTAACCCACATCTAAATAAAATTGAATTGAGTGTCCATGGTGATTTATGCCCACAAAAGGTGCAAATGACATGTCATACTTATTTGTCAAGTAGGTCGTATCAAATGTAACTACATCACCAAATTCTTTGTAAGCTGCCACACTCCTTGCATCAGTCCAAAATAAAATTTCTAATTCAAGCATTATCATCCACATCCATCATATAAAAGAAGTTTTAATCTTTTGCTTGCGTCCGAACAAAATAATTGTGGATTGCTAAAGCATCTCCAACAAGAAGTCATAACTTTCTCTTTTTATCAATGTAATTTCCACAATCTTTCTCCAAAAATGGGACATTATCATGACCACTAGCTTTCATGATAAATGATTGATAACTCTTCGCAATCTAATCCCAGCTAGATCATTTAATTTAAGTTTTCTCTTAGTACCTATTCTAATTTCCCTATTACATGAGTAAAATCATGATTTTTGTGGACTCAACCCATGATTACGCTCCGGTCTAATAGATTTGATCTTGCACTTTTCATCTTTAAATACTAATGCATTAACCTTAGCCTTTCATCCCACTTCCGACAGTGGGTTAGGATTGAAGTAATTTTGTTTTACAGACCTTGAATTCTCGGTTCGACAAACATGATAAGTAAACAAATGTTAAATCTCCAAATGTTTGTGTTGTTCTCTTTTTAACTCCAAAGCCTTCCCGTTTCCAATATTGTTTATAATACCCAAAAAGGTTGTCCAATGATTCAAAAGTCATCCCAAACTCAAGTGCTTGAATAATTTCTTTACTGACCAAGTTCTTATTTGACTGGTGTTCATCCACATATTCTTCATCACTTGATACCAACTTATTGCCTTCTTCAATCAGCATCTCAATCGCTTTATAATCCATGAAAAGATAAACATAAATTAATGACTAATACCCTATAAAGTAGTAATTGATGACTAATATATTAATTAGAAGCATTCATTAATGACTAATAGCACTATGAAATAAAATAAGTATTAAGTTGGAGATTATACTTTAATCCTCCAATGTGAAAATTCAAAATAGGTCAGAAAATGTTAACTTATGACTAAGTAATTCATAATGTGAAATTTCAGAATAAGTATTCATTGATGACTACTTCTCCAACGTTAATCCTCCAATGGGTCACAGACTACATTACAGGGGAGTAAGAATTATCTAATTAGCATGACATAAGTACTTTTTGTTAAGAGATAAAATATCACATCAATAAAGATGAAAATATAGATTAATTTATAAGAGTTTGAGCTACTCTTAATAATTTTGACATTTTAAGATGAAACATTAAATCTTAACATAATATTAGAACCCGTTAATCTCCAACGAGCAATTCGATCCAATTAAGATTAAAAAAAATTGAGCCCACAGATTTCAAGGTCTGCTCAAGCGAGCCACCATTGGGAACATGTTAAGGAATAAAATCCCACATCGAATGAAAATGAAAACATATACCAATTTATTAAAGGCTACTCATTTTAATAAAGTTAATCTTTTGAAATAGAACTCCAAATCTTAACACTTTTCAAGAAACAATTATGTAAATTGTTTACAATAGTGCCACTTGAAAGCTTTGAAGAGTGCATACCAGTGGGTTTATCATTGATGAGGACATCACCCATATCAAACTGAGAATATAATTATTTGGATCAACTCCACCAAAGAAAATTTTGCCTCCCTCTTCTTCATCCACATTTCGATTGAGCCAAAACGAAAATTGGGTTATGCACCTTTTCGATTCAATTTTTTTAAAAGAAGTTTAGGAATAGGTGAAAGAGAAGAGGAGGCTTGAATTTCTGTGGCGTCGTCGTCAAAGTGCGGTAGTGGAAAAGGTGAGAGAGAAAAAAATTGAAACATATTCTGTAGTTTCCTTCTTTAGTGCCATTAAGAAGTTGAAGGGTTTTATTTTTTTTGGGGAAAACACGTGAATTACTTTTTTGCTTTAAAAATAAAATTTAAAATTTTGCCATGTAGGATATTGATTGGGCAGCCATGTAGACCAGGGTTCAATTCTAGAGGGACTGAAAGCAATACTCAACTTCTAAAC